TAATTATACTCTCTGCTTCAAACATGCCACATGTCGCATTTCTCACTTCGTTCTTTTTGTGCATATGTAATCATAGTTATTCTGAGTTATACCAATCGGTTTGTGAAATATGGAAATTATTTATTGCCTGATTTGTTCAAAGTACCAGGGCACACTCTTACTATTATACATTTTTTTAATGTTTCACACGTTCTATTTATGTTTTTATCCATTTCTCGAAAGTGCGTAATTACTCTATATCAAGTACAATGAGTTGGTAATATTAAATAAGATTAGTATACATTCAACAACCTAAGGTAAAGGAAGAGCATAAGCGATAATATAAATACGTTATTAGCGTTGATGTGTATCAGAGTCGGATAGAGAGTTGTGTACCAACGACCGTATATATACCAATGTGAAGGTGGTCATGTGGTTTTTAATTCGTGGTAAACAATATATTGTTGTGTCATCTAACGATGAAAAGTTCTTGGAAGTGTTTTAATTCTTTTCTTTCACGTGTTACTGAAACGGTTTATAAATTTACATTAGACAACCACATCACTGAGATAACTTGTTTATTTACTAGAATTTTCCCATTACGTTCTAAATAAGTGATTCTTCCAGTTATTTCTTTATGGTTAAACTTGTTCTTTATTAGCAGCCACTGGCTACATCATGGATATTTACATAATTGTTGTTATTAAATTTTCCAATGTCACGTTGGCCACACGATTGCTCAACATTAAGTCTGAGATCTGATAACACTAAAAATCGAATTTCTAAACCCTCGATAAGCGAAGCACAGGCATCCTACTGTAGTTTTGTGCTTAACAATAAATAAGGTTATCATTTTGCTACTTTCAATATTTTCACAGATATTCTAGGTAATCACTTCTTTTAGATTTATTATTTGGACAAAGATTTTAATCAAAATGGTATAAGAAGAAACTTATAGCACTGCCATATTTGTTGCAAGTTAGTAATTATCAAAATTTCTGTTCCATTTAGAACATTCTATAGTTATATTTTGGTTATTAAGATGTCTTACAGG